AATCACCAATTAACTGGGTTTATTAAAACTTATAAAATATGCAAACTCTGTTAAAAGTTACGTCGGTATTCCCCTATATTCCCTTGTTTTTCATTAGATCTATTTAAAAAATGTAAAAATAATATTCAATGTTCCCATAGAACAAATTTAAAAGAAGTTGAATCTATTTAGCTTATACCTTCTTAATCCCAACAAGAACATCATGAACATATTCCAATTCAATATTGTCAATATTCTCGCCCTCAAAAAGACCAAAATTTGTTGAGAAAGTATGTAATGTCTTCTTATCTTCTGTCTGATTGTCAGAAAAACTTTCAGAAAGGCTAGAAGAAATTCCAGTACTTCCTAAAAAAGTTAAAAAAATTTAAATTCAATTCCCAACCTCCAATATCATCAGCCGAATCTCCATTACTTGCTCCAGATGATGGACTTAATCCAGTCAATGGTGAATCAGTAAGAGAGTTTCGACGCTAAAAGTTTGTTTTAAAAAATTAAATTTATTCAAATAAAACCTTTCCACGTTCAAAATTGTCAAAATTTATCGCTGCTGAAGTTGAAGTTTTGTCAGAATTTTTCTTTTTATTAATTACTTCTTTTTGTTTAACATTTTTCAGATTTTGTTGTTTTTCTTCATCTTTTGATTTTTTATTTTGATTTTCTTTTGAAGGTGGCATTAAATTAGTCTATTGAAAATTGATCTGTATTGAAAAAATAAAATGATGAATACAACAAATATTTTTCGAGACTCTAATTTGGAGAAAAATTAAAGAGTCCCACAACCCATAAATCCACAAATAACGTTAAATGATAAATAAATATTTGTGGAATAAAACACTTCTAGTAAATCGATTCAAAAAATAAAAAATTTTATTGAATATAGTAAATTTCCAAAAAAAACAATATAAATGAGAATCAGATAAAAATAAATTTAAAAATAAATTTAAAATTTTCTAAAAGAATTTTTATTAAACCAGATAAACTTCTCGTTAATTTAAACCAATTCCATTCCTATATAATCCTGAAAATTTTGTTCTTTTTAAAGAAAATTTAATTAAAATTTTTACCGTTCCTACTTGTCTAAATATTGCTTCTCTGCGCATCCACTGAGTCATAATTGGTAATGGATGTTCAACATCCTCATAGTAATCAAAAGGTTCCCAATAATTTCCTTAAAATTTCAATTTTAAAATTAGAAAAATTTTAAGATTTTAATTTTTTAGTTTCAAACAATTAGAATTCTTTGTTTTGTTCAACTTTTTTACACTGTAAAGACACAAATACATCATTGGTTTGTTTAAATAATCCTCTCCCACTCCAACTCACCCATATTAAAATTTGCATAATCTACTCCATAACTTCCATGAATTTCCAACATATGTCGATAAATGTCGCGAGAATTATCTGACTGAAATAAATTAAAAGCTTTTTTCTCAAAATTTAAAAAAAAACCTTAAAACTTTCACAAATCCAACAAAAATGAGTTTTACAATTTGTACACTCCATGTGATTACAACCCTCAATAGTTCTTTCAATAAGCATATTACAATTTTTATTTGGACAAAAACGACACATTTCTGATATTTCTCTTAAATTATTTTCAAATTTAAAAAAAAATTAGAAAAATTAATACTCTTTCCATTTTAACAGCAAATGATCATCTTTAAGCAGTAACGCATGTCGAGCCTAAAAAGTAGTTTTTAATTATAGAAAAAATATTTTTTTGTTAATATTATCTAGAAAAGCTCAATTTGAAAATATATTCCATAAAATTTTTTTGAAATAAACGTTCAGTATTCTAAAATTAGTTTTCCTGAAGTCTCATATTTCTTTTTAATAAGAAATACAAGTATTTTCAAAATGGGGGTAAGGGCCAAAAAAGCCGAAAACTGACAATAGGTTATCGACCCTGCTCTACACGCTGGTATAAAAATAATTACAAAATTTTTGACTAGATATAATGTTCTCTTGTTAGAATCATTCATAGGGATGAAGTAAGACTTATTTAAATTATTTTTAAATTAATTTTTAGAAAGCACCAAACAAATTCACCCATAGTGACCAAAATTTAAATATTCAGTAACAATTTGGTAATAGATTCTTTACCTCAAAACTAAAAATATTTTCAAAATTTTACCTCTTCACAATTCTTTCCCTCATGGACATCTTCTCCGCAACCACCACAGCGTAACCACCCACATTTTGGGCAAGTAATTGTTTGGCAAGTTATATTAACTTTTATTAAATAATGACATCCTGTAGTTTTGCACCAAACAAATTCATCATTATTATTAACAAAAGAATAGAGAGATCGTTGAAGAAGTGGTAAAATAAAAGTTTTCAAATCCTGTATTTTTGTAAATCTTCTTCCGAATACTTTCTAAAAATTAATTTAAAAATGATTAAAATAAAATGTTAATTTACTCGAATATCATTAATTGCTAAAAATTGGCAATGTTGATGAGCGCATCGAAGTGGAAAAGTTGTAGAACTTTCGATCTGAAAAATGGAAAAAATTGGACCTTTAAGGTTTCAGTAACCAATAGAAATTTAGAAAGTTTTATTAATTTTAATAAATTAAAAATGATTAAATAAATATGTCTATTTTACGTTTTTAAAATTTAATTTACCAATTGAAGAAGACATGTATCACAGTAAAAATGCCCGCAAAGCGATAATTTAATACAATTATTTCCTTCGTAATAATTTAAGCAAATTGTGCATGTTCCAGGATATATATTATTTTTGTTTGATTCATGCAAGGATTTTGACAACAAATATTCAAATAATCCATTTTTTATTACCTTTAGAATGAGAAATTTTTTTAAATAAAATTAGCCAATTTATATTTCACAATCTAACGAAAAACGCCACTTTCCATTACCTAGCTTCCTTTGAAAAGGACTATGTAACACTGTAACAATGCTCATCAAATTTCTGAGTCATAAACATTTTAACAATTTAAATAATACCTTAAATCCTTCCCCCTTCAAAATACTCCTTGTAAGCTGAACAAGAATATTTTCAAAATCTTTTTGAGAATTCAATACAATATAAAGATTATCATCAAAAATAAATATGAGTGGTTCATACTCGAACTGGAATATAAAATTTCTTTTAAAAACTTCAAAAAAATTTACAATTGTTAAACAGTAATCATTTAGAAAATTTTCAATATTAGATAAAAATGAAGAATCATTTTTGTTTTTGTCACAGTAAACACATAATGTGAAATTGCCTAAAGAATCATCCCTTTCAATTGAGCGAATTTTAAATCCTGGACCGAAATAAACCTAAAAATAAAATATTTAGAATCATCAGGAAAAATCCAAATAATTATATTAATTCTCTTGAATAATAAAGCTACTTTTTTAAATTTTGATAAATTAAACAAATAATTTAAAATTGATTTACGAATAAACTCACCAATGCACAAGTTTCCTCGAACAAACAGCGAAAAACATTCCAATTAATTTCAGTATCAGCAATACTTTTCACACGATTTTTGGCCCATTCTAATAACTCATTTTTTCCTACGTGTGTACCAATTAAAGACAAATAAGAATCACCAGGACGATAACTTTGAAAATTATTGACAAATAACATTTCTTTTGTAATCCTATTAAAGGATACTTCATCTTTTCCACCACTTTTAATTAAATCCGAAACAACAGCCGAGCCCAAATCAAGTTGGAAAATGGAAATCTTAAAAGAAAACTTTAAAAAATTTTAAAACTTAAAAAAACCTTATAAAATGGAACTGAACTTCTGTGTGTGTATGGAATGTCACAGATAAATGAAGCAACTTTTTTATCCGGTAAAAGTTCAAAAGCAATGGCTCTGCCGAAATTTTGAGTTTTAAAATATTCGCTCACGTGAATTACACTTTCCTGGTCAATCTAAAAGAATTTTTTGAATATTTTTAAATTAAAATTCACCATTACCACACATTTGTAATATCTGTTGTAAAAATTTAAAGTTGAAAAAATTTCATCACGAAAAAAGGTCAATGCTTTATCTTTCCCATAAATTGAACACAGTGAATGTGCTAATGCAGAACGAACAAATTTTGAAGATTTTGCCTGAGTTTAGGAAAAATTTGAATCTATTACTTTTAGTAATGCCTATACTTTCTAAAAACATTTCGACTAAAGTATTTCCTAAATAATTAAAAATTCACCGGTTGTATCCATTTTAAATCAATTTGAACATGATAAATAAAATGATGAACGTTAAAATTATCCACAGAGGGATAATTACTCCCTAAATTGTAAAGATTGTGATATGGAAGCTTTGTTGACTCCATTAATGAACGTGCACAAACAAAAACATCATCGAAAAATTGTTCCATTTCAGGCATATTTTCGTCAAATACCTCTCCAGTTTGATAAAAGTCACATAATCTACAAGCAACAGACAAGTCATCTTCAAGATCAATGAACTGGAAAAACACAAAACTAGCTTAAAAAATACGGATGTTGTCCCTTTCCCTTTTAATGTTCCCTTTTCCCTCAGTTAAATACAATTTTAGAACTACATCAGGGAATTTCTTTTAACAAAAAATCATTAATTTTTAACCTTAATTTTTGAATAATTTTTAAACGAACCAAATTATCTCTTGCATATTTGAACAACTCTGAACCTCTAACATTCAAAGAAATAATGAAAGCAGCTTCAAAACCAACCCCAAGTTTATGAGCAAAACTAATGAATTCCTGTACACGAGCCAATTCATTAAAGGGTGGAGACATTTTAATTCTACTTTAAAATATAAATTGAAAGTCAAAATTATATAGAGATTAAGCTATAAAAGAACAGTTTTAAATTAAATTCAAAAACAATTTATTTCCAATTTATCTACTTTCAAAAAACAACGGCAAAAACACAAAAACAGAAAGTGACATTAACCAAAATATACAATATATCAATAACAAAACAAAATTATATATATTTTTTGACTAGTTATTCATTCCCCTCTTTCTCAGCCAACCTTTCTTTAACATTTAGAATTGCTCATTTTTTACTTCATCTGGACGAGTTAGTACGAAGAAAATCTAAAATATGTAGGATTAAACAAAAAAATTATTCATATTCACCTCCAAATCGGCACTAATACTTGCCACAGCACTCCAATTATTCAACTCTGGATGATACCGAGCAGCAGAGAATATAGTAACCATCTTTTGGCCACAGAACATATCATAGCCATACTGAGCAACCTTAAAATTAAACTTAATTTTTATCTTTTAGATAATTTATAACACCTGGTGAGCACGTATTATCAGACTAATTTTTAGAGAAGACATCGTCTTCTTTAACGCCTCTTCACTAAAGAGGACTGAACAATTCCGAAAGTAATTGTGTACGAATCCTTCGTTACTTGGCAACAAATTTGGATCAGCCCACAATAAGTCCTGTATAAGTCCAGGTTCAATTATAATAGGAATCGGACGTTTCAGATCTCGAATGTCATTCAACGACTGCAAATGGGGCGAAATGCCACCTGAAAAAAGTGCCAAAAATTATTCAATAATGGTTTAACTGACCATGCATGCAAAGAATTTTTCCTCCAATGGTAGCAGCTAGAGGCATGAAGGCGAACGCATCATTGAATTTCAGCCAAAGTTCTTCAGCACGGTCGTTCCCAAAGCGACGACTCAGCTCGTCAAAGAAACCGTAAGCCCTGAAAAATTATCGTTATTTGTTTATCCAAAAAGGCACTCGCCGATTTATGTGAGTGATTTCATGATTGCCACGAAGCATAAAAATATGTTCGGGATATTGTACCTTACAGGCAAAGAGCAAACAAATGACCTTAAGAGAACAATATTTTTTTTCAAAAAAACGAAACCTCAAGAGAATTTCTTCCACGATCAACATAATCTCCGAGAAAAAGATAGCGTTTTTTATGCGGTGGTCCACAAGCATGAAAAATACGCAGCAAGTCAGCATATTGCCCATGAATATCTCCACACACAAATATTGGCCCGTTCAACTCTAGGAGTGTTTGTTGATCTTCAAATGACTCCATCGCCAAGTGCGCTATTTGCTCGATCTGATCAGCCGAGTAGTGGTACTCCTTTTTACCACGAAGCAAATGGCGTCGAATGAATTCGAGCACATCGAGGTCGGTACTGTCTGAAAGAAAAAAAAGTCAGATATGAAATTCCCGATTAAAACTGACGAGACATGTTGTTCGTCTTTGCTCTGCGTTTCTCGATGTCGAATATTCCTGGCATTGCCATTGGCTAAAAGTAAAACTAATTAATGAAAAATAAAAACATTTACATGTATCTGCGCGGGAATTCCACCTACAGGTGGACGGCCACTCGATTGCTGACTAGACTGGACCGAATTAGTCGAATTCGTTAAAGTAAAACTCTGTGACGAACTCGAACGCGCTTCTGTTGCCCCAAATAACGTCATCGCTACTTTGCTGTGGTAATTTGAATTAGTAAGACCAAGCAAAATTACGCTTAAATAGTAAAAATTTACTGTAGTTAATTCAAACGGTTAAATTAACTTTGGTCAAAAAACTTTTCGCCAATGGACTTTGAGTCAATGAAGTTTTCGTTAATCACGTGAAAGGGAAATTCTTTTTTGATAATGCAGATAGAATGCTAATTTCCAAACTCATAAAAATATGTAAATTTCGAAAATTCTTGTCATTTTTTCTTTGAAATGCTATAACATATCTTTTTGTTTTCGTTGTCCTAAAATTAAATTCCCTTTAATTTTAAAATGTAGCAACACAAATGACTCAATTAGAAGAAATCAACTTACATTTTGCAAGCAATCATATAAAGTTAAAAATGGAATGGCTCCGGGAAGTTGTTAATTTTCTCTCAAACATTAAGGTAGTTTTGCTGTTAAATCTTTTTTTACAATCTTTCTTTTAAGATCAGTACAGACAAATTAATAGGTTTAGTTTATCAACAATGGATTTACTCAAATATTCAACAAAGTACTGAACCTATTAAAGAATTTGAGAATTCTAATGATATTTTTGATTTGCCACAACCCCTACTTTTACAGGTTTACTAAAAAAATTAACCTTTTAAAAAAATTGTTTATAGATTGAATCTGTTACCGATATAGGCACTTCTTTTCTTAAACAATACCAAACACTTGTACAAAAAGACTACGATGAAACCGCCGCTGAAATAGGTGTTATTGAATCAGACGACTACAAAATTGATGTAATTTTTATCTTTTAGTCAAATTTTTAGTTATCATTTTAGAATAAGTTTAAATGTTTTTCTCTTCAACTAACCGATGGAGAAAGGATTTTTAAGGCTTTTGAACAAAAACGTATTCCAAACCTATTGTTATCTACACCTCCTGGAAGCAAGGTTGATTTTAATTTCATTTTATTCTAAAAATGTTTTTAAAGATTTTACTTTTTCGTGGGACGCGGATTAATCAAAATATTATATTTCTCGATCCAAAAAAATGTCAGTTATTGGGTGGTGCCGTCTATGATCTTATATTACAAAATAATTCTTTACATTCTCTCTGTAGGCTTCTTAATAGACAAATACCTTCTGGACCGAGGTATAGAATTTTTATTAAAAAATTTGGCCCTATCTGAAAGGAATGCCGGCATTATATTTTTCTTCATTTCCTTGAAATGGTTATTTTTTTAGTTTGTTATTTTTCTCTAATTTATTTTTCCTTAACCAAAGACAATAATTTTTTAAATTTTTTCGGACCGTTTTATGTCTGGACCGAGTTTCGGTAGACACGGTCCTCCAAAACTCGGTTCGGACAAACCGGTCCTACCAAAACTCGGACCAAACATAACTCCGTCCGAAAAAATTAAAAGAAAGACACCGTCTTTCATTAAGAAAAATAAATTAAGGAAAAATAACCATTTCAAGGAAATGAGAAAAAATATGATACCGGCACTGCCGGCAGGGCAAAAAATTTTAGGGTTTACATTATTTTATTTTTTCTCATAAAATCAATCATTTTATAGATCAGCGCAAATGACTCAATTAGAAGAAATCAACTTACATTTTGCAAGCAATCATATAAAGTTAAAAATGGAATGGCTCCGGGAAGTTGTTAATTTTCTCTCAAACATTGAGGTAGTTTTGCTGTTAAATCTTTTTTTACAATCTTTTTTTAAGATCAGTACAGACAAATTAATAGGTTTAGTTTATCAACAATGGATTTACTCAAATATTCAACAAAGTACTGAACCTATTAAAGAATTTGAGAATTCTAATGATATTTTTGATTTGCCACAACCCCTACTTTTACAGGTTTACTAAAAAAATTAACCTTTTAAAAAAATTGTTTATAGATTGAATCTGTTACCGATATAGGCACTTCTTTTCTTAAACAATACCAAACACTTGTACAAAAAGACTACGATGAAACCGCCGCTGAACTAGGTGTTATTGATTCAGACGACTACAAAATTGATGTAATTTTTATCTTTTAGTCAAATTTTTAATTATCATTTTAGAAAAAGTTTAAATGTTTTTCTCTTCAACTAACCGATGGAGAAAGGATTTTTAAGGCTTTTGAACAAAAACGTATTCCAAACCTATTGTTATCTACACCTCCTGGAAGCAAGGTTGATTTTAATTTCATTTTATTCTAAAAATGTTTTTAAAGATTTTACTTTTTCGTGGGACGCGGATTAATCAAAATATTATGTTTCTCGATCCAAAAAAATGTCAGTTATTGGGTGGTGCCGTCTATGATCTTATATTACAAAATAATTCTTTACATTTTATTTCTGGACAGATAAATGAACAAATACACTCTCAACAAAATGAATTTGTAATATTTAGATTTCAGAAATAATTTTCTTTATGATTTTAGGTGGAATATGATTGGGCTGTTGGATTTTAATTCGGTGAAGGAAATTTTTTTTGCATATTTTTATTTAGATTTAATTTTATTTAAATGTGTAAATATACTTATTTGATTAAGTTTTTTGTACAAAAATTTATTTGTTAATGGGAAGCAATTATGCTTAACCCTTAATTTTTTTAAATAATTTTTTTTCTTCCTGCTGCTTCCGACATCTTTTTGTCGGTTGAAATCCGAATATTACAAAAATTATAGAAATTTTCTATACCACTTTTAATGTTTATTACACCTATTAGGTCGTTTCGTTACTTTAAAGTATTTGCTCCTTTAATCAATAATAGTGGAATTTTACTGCATACAAGGTCAGTTTTTTTTTATTTAATAGTCAAAATATTTGGTTAGAAAACTTTGTTTATTCTTATTTTTTATAAAAATTTTATATAAACATTTTAGAACCGCTACAATAATGTCTACAATTGAAGAATTCAAGAAAAATTTAATTGTTTCTGATGTTGTTCCAACAGCACCTGAGAAAAGAATTCGTGTGACTTACGATAGTGGCGTTGAGGTTAGTCAGTGGAGATTTCATATTTGTTTGCTTTTCCTCAGAAAATCGGTGTCTTTGTGGGGTGGGGGGTCGAGAATTCCAAGACGGAGGGGGATAGCCATCAATTCACATGTATTTTGGCTCCATCGTTCCCAATACTTTTAAAAAATGCAGATTATATACTAAATTTTGCAGGCAAATCTTGGTAATGTTCTTACACCAACCCAAGTTAAAAATCCTCCGACTATAACTTGGGAAGCGGAGGATGGTGTTCTTTATACTCTTGCAATGACTGGTTAATTTTTATTTAATTGATTTTCTATCAGATTTCGTAATTTTTTAGATCCTGATGCTCCTAGCAGAGCTGATCCGAAATTTCGTGAATGGCATCATTGGTACATTTAAGAAAATTTTAAAAATTTTTTCTTATATTTAAAGGCTTGTTGTTAATATTCCTGGTAATGATGTCTCAAAAGGAGAAGTTCTTAGCGAATATGGTTAATCGAAAAAATAAACTAAATTATTAATTTATTAGTTGGTTCTGGACCTCCAAAAGATACTGGACTTCACCGATATGTATTTTTGGTTTATAAACAAAATGGGAAAATACATGACCCAGAACATGGGCATTTGACTAATCGTTCAGGTAAAATCAAAAAAAATTTTTCTTTGATTTGGTGAACTCCGCTCCAAGTTAGCTAATGGTTTAATCTTAAAAATTTTCCAATTTAGTGAATATTTTTCGATTTTTTATCTTTAATTTTGATCCTCAAAACATTGGTTTCAGAGACTTTAGTTTCTATAAAGGTAAAGGCAATTGGTGGGAATAGTAATAAAACCAGAATATAGCTATTACATTTTTCAACCTTTTTGATTTACTTTTTCCTTTCAAAGGTGACAATCGAGGGTGTTTCAAAATTAATGATTTCGCTAAGAAACATGGTCTTGGTAATCCAATTGCCGGCAACTTTTATCAGGTAATTTTGTTATTAAAAAAATAATTTTCAAATTAATTTTAGGCAGAATATGATGATTATGTTCCTATACTTTATAAGCAATTGGGAGATTGAATGGAAATGAATTAAATAAAAAAATAAAATTGAGTGGATTTCCACAAAAATATTATTTTGAGGTTTTCTGATATTTAAAAAATATTTATTTTTGTTTTAGGTATTTTTAAAAATAAAATTTTTCAATTTATTAATTCTTTTTCATATTTATTTGTTATTAAAAAAATAATGTTATTAAAAAAAAATAAATAGAAGCAATTCCACTAAAACCTTCTTTCTTTAAAACCTTCTTTTAATTCACTAAAATTCTTTTTTTCATCCTTTAAACATTCTTTATCGTCCAATCTCTTCCACGTTCTCTTTTTGAAATAATTAGTTCCGAATAGTCTAAAACAGGGCTCCGATCGACAAAATGCCACTCAAAAGTATCAAAATCTTGATTAAAAAGTATATAGGGAGAAAATTTGCAAATAAAAAGGGTAATAGTTCGGAATTCGCCCCCTTTTTTCAACATTTCCCTGACCATTTTGAGCTTGTTTGTTTGATACATAATTTATCATACATCTTTCGAAAGCGCTCATCGAGCTTGGTCGAATGATACCGTGATTGACCAGATCTGATCATTCTTACCGAAATTATGAAGCCAAATCCTAGTTTGGGCAAACTTTTTGTGTCAATGCAAGTGGATAAAATATACGGTCACAACTTTGTTCACTTAAGTCAGATTTCGTTAATTTTAATGTCATTCGACTCAGCTCGAAGAGCTCTTTCGAATGATATATAATTTACTATAAATTGAGAAAAAACTAGGAAAAAATAAAGAGGAAAAAAAGGGGGGGGGCGAATTCCAAACTATTACCATAAAAAGTATGCTCAAAATTAAATTAGAAAATATTTATTCGTCCTCAAATCTTTTACAGTCGTGGAAAAAAGTATGGAAGCGCTTTAAAATTTCTTTTTATTTTTTAATTTTTTATTCAAAAAATACGTTCTATATACCAATCGAAAGCTCTATTCGTATCTCAGTTGACATGTTTCTGCATTTTTTATGAAAATGAAAATTGGCCGAGATAATCCGGATCTAGATAATCCGGATCTATCCACGACTGTATATTTCTCTCCTAAATGAATCTTTTCTAATAATTTCTTGCTTCAACTGAGCATTTTGTCAATTTCAATGCACCTTTTGTGGGGCGAAAGGCGCCAAAAAATTTATTTTTTGCGCCGCAGGCGAAAATTTTTTGAAATTTAGAGCCCAAGAAGCTAGATTTCTTCCTTTTTCAGCGCCGCAGGCGAAAATTTTGAGAATTTCAAAGGCCGTAGGCCAAAAAAATTCACTTTTTTGACCAATTTCTTTCCCAATTTCATTTTCAATCAAAAAAAGTATATACTTTCAAAAAAGTATAAATTCAATTTCGTAAGTATGGAGGTCGATTTAAAAGTAGAATACTTTTAAAAAAGTAGGAATCGGAGCCCTGGTCTAAAATTTGTTCTTGAAAAATTCCATACTTTTTCATTTTCTCATAAATTTTCCTTTCGTCTTCTCACTACGCGAATTTCTTCTTTATTAAAATTAACTCCACAAAATCTCTAAATTTGTCAAATGAAAAGGGTGGTAAATCTTTGAGCTCATCTATGACTATCTACAACCGGACTCTTCTGACCATTTTTATTCGTGACCATTTTTAATTGAACCTTTTTGAAAATAACTTTTTGAAAATGACTTCTATATTGGACGTTTTTATTATTTTACATAACAAAATTTGAACAAGTACTTGCATACAAATTTTTTGAATATCATCCTTTTATAATTTAATTTTTCACCGCTTTTATTTAGGAATTGACTTTAAAAAATATTAATTTAAATGCAGCAATCTCTAGGCTTGATTTTTAAAAACACACTACTTACTGGAGGAGGTGGTGTTCGTGGATTCTTAGGACAACGTGGGCAGCTGACACCTTTTGTAGATGGCCTTGTTAGAGGTTCTAATGTTTCGACCTTTTCTGGCGGAGGCCCAACAAATGTTTTGGTTTTTATTTTTTTAAATTATATTCTGAAATGCTCAAATTTAGGATTCTCGTGTTTACCACCATGGAGGCGCTTTTTCTGGACATCTTCGATTTGGTGGTATGCAATTATCTTCTTCGTTTGTAGCCTTACGTGGAATCTATTGTGGTGGAGGTTTATCTTTTTCGACCTTTGCTGGGAGAGGCTCTTCGAATGTTTTGGTATGTTTTGGTAATTGTGAAGATTTCTGGTCCATGGAAGGAATAAGGAATAGCTTTTCGGTGTTTCCAAGATTTCCATGTAGGTTATTAAGTGTGCCCAGAATACACTTACAGATTTTATTTTTTCGAATCCCGGGCAAAATTAAAATTTGAGTTGATTGATCATGAGTCATAATACCCACAATAACTTTTATTTTGAATTTTTACCCCCAGAATTTGACATTCTCGAATTTTGGTCTTGGATCCGGAATAAAATTTGAACACATTTTCAGACTCAGGACACTGATAAATTACCTACCTTTGCTGGGAGGGGCTCTTCGAATGTTTCGGTTTTGATATTTTTAACATTTTTTTAATTGCTCGAATTTAGGATCCGCATGTTTACCATCAGGCAGTTTCTTTCAATAACTACATTCGAAGCTCAACTTGGACATTATCTCGATACTATTCTTCAAATGTGCCATTACCATCTCGACATTTAGAAGTTAATGGAAAGGATTGCACTGTTACTTGCGATGATGATCAATACCAAGTGTTGTGTGAATTATTGAGTATACCATTTGGTTCGGGAATTCCAGAAATGGTTCCATTTTTATTAGCTTATTTTTAAACTTATTCTTTTTAGAAAGTGTATAGTCACCCAGATCAATTTATTAGAGAGGCGGAAAAGTATGAACGTGTTGGGGATTACATCCAGTCGTCCAAGAAGGTATTTTTAAATTGATATTTTATGTATTTCTTTTATTTTTAAGTCATGGGGGGCTTATGTTTTGACCATTAAGAGTCTGTATAAAAATCTCCAAATCAATATACATTCACATGATACTTTACATAAATTGTCCTTATTTGCAATTGGTCTTGATGACGATGTTCCAAACAAAGAGTCACTTGGTTTTACTGTTAGACTGATGAATGGGTAATTTTATTTCATTAAACTGTTATTGAATTATTTTTGAATTTGTCATCCAATTTTTTGTCCACAAACTATAACAAGCATAATTGCCTTATTTCTTCTGACGTTTACAGAAAATCCTTTTCGTTTATTTCACAAGAGATAAAATCCTTTTCAAAATTCATTTTTATTTTTAGTTCTCATCAAAATTGGTACAAGGGAAGGAAGACACGTAAACATATTCAGGATTATATTAAGAGTGTAAAGAAGTTTGCTGAGCTTTTTGGGAAAATTAACGAGAAACGTGTTTGGAACAGACTTGCTCCCTATCTTCCAACACAACCAGGACCTGAACATGCAATAATTTTTAATGGAGTCAAATTTGAGATGAGAAAGCATTCTGACGCCATTTTTGGAAAATGGTTCAATTTTCTTTATGAAGCATCTGACCCGGAAAATGAAGAATAAATAATTATTTTGGTATTGTGATTGTTTTTAGATAGTCTATTTGACATTTTTATTTAAATGAATCTTTCAAAAAAATTTCAAAAAATGTTTTTCAAAAATAAAAAAATTTTATTAGGTGCGGACATAATTAGTGACACATTTTTTCAATCGCGGATAAAAATATTAAACTCTAATATTTTTCTCTTAATTTATATATCATTTTAAAGCTTAAAAAGTCCGCTTTCATTTCATATATAACGCAAAGTTCAAACACAAAACGAAAACAACGCAAAGCTCCACGCAAAGTTCGAAATTTTGAGTTTTTGGGGGTATCTCTACTCGTTTTTTCCTTTACTTGACATTAGGGTTTTTTGTAAATTTAATTCTTAATTTAAAAATTTTATAAAATTTTGTTAATACTATCTTGTGTAACTCAGAAAGGGCTTTCGAATGGTATATTACAAGTCATATTGAATTCAAAAATTTTTCGAGAAAATTTGAAATTTGTAAAATATGTCTGAATCGACTTTTTCGACTATAACTTTAGAAATACCTAACCAAAAAATCTCAAATTTAATAATTTGATGGACTAACCCATGATGAACATATATGAAAAATTTCAAATGGATTGGTTTATTTCTGTTTAAATTATAGAATTTTCCGCAAAAGCTTGTGAATTTCAGTTTGGGTTAGAAACATTCTTTAATTTATAAAATTTGAAATTTAATTAAAAGTCTATCAAGTTATATATGAAATGAAAGCGGACTTTTTAAGCTTTAAAATGATATATAAACTAAGAGAAAAATATTAGAGTTTAATATTTTTATCCGCGATTGAAAAAATGTGTCACTAATTATGTCCGCACCTAATATTTTAATATTTTTTTTCTTTCCGATATTTGTTCTTTTGACAAATTCATCACTTTGGATTTTTGCTTTAATTGAATTTGATTTTCGTTAATTTTAATTTTCGGAAATTTGAAATTTTTAGCTTGGTGTTCCACCTTTTCTCGCTCATACTTTTCCCTTTAGTTGTGAATCGATTAATCAATAAGTGAGATTTGGAGAGCCAAAAATCTTGGGAACATCAAACTCGAAATTCCCAATTTTCTAATATTTTTTCAGATGATTTAAGTTTCAGCTCTTTTATTTGTTTAAAATAAAATTCAATCCATTTGCTTCTCGTCGAAGGTCTCGTAAGCCTCAGCTTAATGCTACACATTCGACGTCAAATAATGTCTGCACCGCTGTCTAAGGATTTGCGTAATAAACATAAGTTCGCTTTATGCTAGCTGAGGTTTAATTTTTCAGTTTTTTTTGTAATTTTCAATTTGGGTTGTCCTCTAGAAGTCCATGTCCGTATTTTTCCAAAGCTCCTTTGTACAGATTTAGAAATTTCTTACCATTGGGAATCAAAATGGACAAAATTTAGTAAACATTTTACGATTTTTTTATTACTTTGAGTCTTTAAACAGAGGTTTCAGAGACTTTAGTTTCTGTAAAGGCAAAGGAATTTATTGGGAATAGTGATAAAACCGAAATAGAATCATTGCATTTTCGACCTTTTTTATTTATTTTTTTCCTTTCAAAGGTGACAAGCGAGGGCGTTTCAAAATAATGATTACATTAAGAAACATGGTCTTAGAATCCAATTGCCGGCAACTTTTATCAGGTAATTTTGTTATTTAAAAAATAATTTTCAAATTAATTTTAGGCAGAATATGACGACTATGTTCCTATACTTTATAAGCAATTGGGAGATTGAATGGAAATGAGTTAAATAAAAAAATAAAATTGAGTGGATTTCCGCACAAATATTATTTTGAGGTTTTCTGATATTTAAAAAATATTTATTTTTGCTTTAGGTATTTTTAAAAATAAAATAAAGATTTCCAATCTATTTTCTTTTTCATAGTCTTAGAATATTAGCCGCTCAAGTAGGTGCAAAATCATCTTGTTTTAAGAGTTCATAATCTTTCAAAATTTAGTACTAACCGATTCCGCTCATCGAGCTAAAGAGATTGGTACTAAAATTGTTAAGGTTCAGAAAATCTCGAGCCAGTTATGGCTTTGCGCCTATTTGGCCGCGCGCCTACTTGTCCCAAAATTTTTTGTCAAAATTTGTCAAGACTTGCTTAAATATTTTTTATGCAATTTCAATAATTTTATTTGTTTATAATTTAATTTTTCACTGCTTTTATTTAGAAATTGACTTTAAAAAATATTTTCAAATGCAGCAATCTCTAGGCTTGTTTTTTAAAAACACTTTACTTACTGGAGGAGGAGGTGTTCGGGGGTTCTTAGGACAACGTGGGTTGACACCTTTTGTAGATGGCCGTGTTAGAGGTTCTAATGTTTCGACCTTTTCTGGCGGAGGCCCAACAAATGTTTTGGTTTTTATTTTTTAAATTATTTTCTTAAACGGACAAATTTAGGATTCTCGTGTTTACCACCATGGAGGCGCTTTTTCTGGACATCTTCGATTTGGCTGTATGCAATTATCTTTTCCGCTCGTATCCGGACGTGGAGTTCATACTGGTGGAGATTTGACTGTTTCGACCGTTGCTGCGAGAGGCTCTTCGAATGTTTTGGTAATAGTGAGGATTACTGGTCATTTGGAAAATGAGGCCACCATTTTCAGTAGTACCCGAAAATCTACGAGACATGAAACGAAAAATTTTCGCCCATCTCTGTCCTAAACCGTTGTTTATCCTTTTTTCAACTTATTTTGTATTTTTAACCTTTTTACAGAAAGTGTATAGTCATCCAAATCAATTTATTAAAAAGGCTGAGAAATATCAACGTGATGGGGATTATGTTCGTTCATCCAAGAATGTATTTTTAAATTGATATTTTTTGTATTTCTTTTATTTTTTAAGTGCTGGAAGGCTTACGCCATGGTTGTCAAGCTTCTTTACAAAGATCTCAAAATTAATATACAGTCACATGATACTTTTCATGAATTGTCCTCATTTGCAATTGATTTTATTGGTTCTGGTCCAGATGCAGTTATACTTGGGTATAATAATGCCATGATGGAAGAGTAATTTTTGTTTACTAACATTAAATTCTTTTTTTTGTTATAGAATTATTTTTTGGGATCGAAATATATCCTTAACAAATATCTCAACCGAAATTTTAACCTATAATATAACTTTTAATTGAAAAATCCTTTTCAATTTATTCCATAACAGAGATTAAATCATTTTTATAACAATTCATTTAAAACTTTAGGGCTCGCGAAAACAAGGGAGAAGCGACATATAATGATATTGATGAGTATATTGAGGGCGCAGAGAAGTTTGTTGAGCTTTTTGCGAAAATTGACGAGAAACGTGTTTGGAATGGACTTGCTCCCTATCTTCCAACACAACCAGGACCTGAACATGCAATAATTTTTAATGGAGTCAAATTTGAGATGAAAAAGCATTCTGACGTCATTTTTGGAAAATGGTTCAATTTTCTTTATGAAGCATCTGACCCGGAAAAGAAAATGGATCCTCATGTTTACCAGCATGCAGTTTCTTTCGAAAACTATAATCAAGGCTCCTCGACTTTGCCACAATTTCAACACTATGCTTCTCTTTCGCCATTACCTATTAGACATTTAAATATTAATGGAAAGGATTGCACTATTTTTTGCGATGATAATCAATACCGAGTGTTGTGTGATAAATTGAATATCACGTTTGTTTCTGAAACTCCAAAGGTTTTATTTTTGGGTAAACCATGTTTATATTTCCCCTTTCGAACTTTGAGGATTCAAAGTTGTTGATCCGAATTTTGCGGGCCAGAAGTTCGCAGTCTGTCAATTAAGTCTTTTGGTCTTCGAAAATAATTTTAACTTAAAAAATGATAAAAAATTTTAAAAATTAAAAAATTGCTCCTTTTATGATGTCTCATTGGATATGTTATAGGGAGAATGAGTGGAATTGAGAAGTGAGATAGTCTAACCTGTTTGTACGTATAAAAAAGAGAAAACTTGGAAGGAAAAAGGTGGAACTCTAAACCTTTGTTTACCCTTTCAACTTATTTTGTATTTTAACCTTTTTACAGAAAGTGCATTGTCATCCAAGTCATTTTATTAAAAAGGCGGAGGAATATAAACGTTCTACAGATTGTATCCGTTCATCCAAGAATGTATTTTTAAATTGATATTTTTTGTATTTCTTTTATTTTTAAGTGCTGGAAGGCCTACGCCCTGGTTGTCAAGCTTCTTTACAAAAATCTCAAAATTAATGTACATCCACATGATACTTTATATAAATTGTCTTCATTGGCAATTGGTTTTGGTGACTCTCCAAACGCAGCTTTACTTGGATATATTAATGCCATGATGGAAGAGTAATTTTTGTTTACTAACACTAAATTCTTTTTTCTGTTATAGAATTATTTTTTGGGATCGAAATATATCCTTAACAAATATCTCAACCGAAATTTTTATTTGCCTTATTCAGACTTAATTCTCAAAAATCCTTTTCAATTTATTCCATAACAGAGATAAAATCATTTTTATAACAATTCATTTTAATCTTTAGGGCTCGCGAAAACAAAGGAGAAGCGACATATGATGATATTCAAGATTTTATTGAAGGCGCAGAGAAGTTTGTTGAGCTTTTTGTGAAAATTGACGAGAAACGTGTTTGGAATGGACTTGCTCCCTATCTTCCAACACAACCAGGACCTGAACATGCAATAATTTTTAATGGAGTCAAATTTGAGATGAGAAAGCATTCTGACGCCATTTTTGGAAAATGGTTCAATTTTCTTTATGAAGCATCTGACCCGGAAAAGAAAATGGATCCTCATGTTTACCATCATGCAGGTTCTTTCGAAAACTATAATCAAGGCTCCTCAACTTTGCCTCAATTTCAACAATATGCTTCTTTTTCGCCATTACCTATTAGACATTTAAATATTAATGGAAAGGATTGCACTATTTTTTGCGATGATAATCAATACCGAGTGTTGTGTGATAAATTGAATATCACGTTTGTTTCTGAAACTCCAAAGGTTTTATTTTTTGGGTAAATCAAGGTTTATGGTTCCCCTTTCGAACTTTGAGGATTCAAAGTTGTGGATCCGAATTTTGCGGGCCAGAAGTTCGCAGTCTGTCAATTGAGTCTTGGTCTTCGAAAATAATTTTAACTTAAAAAATTGTTAAAAAATTTTAAAAATTAAAAAATTGTCCTTTATTGATGTCTCATTGGATATGTTATAGGGGGATTTAGTGAAATTGAGAAGCGAGATAGTCTAACCAGTTTATACAAAACTTGGGAGGAAAAGGGGGGACTCTAAACCTTTGTTTACGCTTTTTTCAACTTATTTTGTATTTTTAACCTTTTTACAGAAAGTGTATAGTCATCCAAGTCAATTTATTAAAAAGGCGGAGGAATATAAACGTTCTACAGATTGTATCCGTTCATCCAAGAATGTATTTTTAAATTGATATTTTTTGTATTTCTTTTATTTTTAAGTGCTGGAAGGCCTACGCCCTGGTTGTCAAGCTTCTTTACAAAGATCTCAAAATTAATGTACATCCACATGATACTTTATATAAATTGAGTTTATTTGCTGCAGATTGTTCACCTGACGCAGCTTTACTTGGTTATATTACTGAAATGATGAATGAGTAATTTTGTTTACTAACACTAAATTCTTTTTTCTGTTATAGAATTATTTTTTGGGATCGAAATATATCCTTAACAAATATCTCAACCGAAATTTTTATTTGCCTTATTCAGACTTAATTCTCAAAAATCCTTTTCAATTTATTCCATAACAGAGATAAAATCATTTTTATAACAATTCATTTTAAACTTTAGGGCTCGCGAAAACAAGGGAGAAGCGACATATGATGATATTGATGAGTATATTGAGGGCGCAGAGAAGTTTGTTGAGCTTTTTGGGAAAATTGACGAGAAACGTGTTTGGAATGGACTTGCTCCCTATCTTCCAACACAACCAGGACCTGAACATGCAATAATTTTTAATGGAGTCAAATTTGAGATGAGAAAGCATTCTGACGCCATTTTTGGAGAATGGTTCAATTTTCTTTATGAAGCATCTGACCCGGAAAATGAAGAATAAATAATTATTTCGGTATTGTGATTGTCTTTAGATAGTCTATTTGACATTTTTATTTAAATGAATCTTTCAAAAAGATTAAATGAATCTTTCAGATTTAAAAATCAAACTTGGGAAATTTCTAACAATTATTTTGAGGTTCTCTTATATTTAAAAAATATTTATCTTGCTTTAGGTATATTTAAAAATTAAATAAAAAATTATTAATTTATTATCTCCTTTTCATATTTGGAAGCAATTCCACTAAAACCTTCTTTTAATTCACTAAAATTCTTTTTATCGTCCTTTAAACATTCTTTATCGTCCAATCCCTTCCATGTTCTCTTTTTGAAATAATCACCTTTAAAATAAATTTATAAACAAGTATGGAATGTTTAATTTTTAGTTCTAAATTTTTTGTTTAAAATTGGTTCTCGAAAAATTCCATACTTTTTATTTTCTCACAAATTTTCCTTTCGTTTTTAGAATTCATTTTAAGTCCGAAAAACTAACACATAATTTCCGATACGTATCTCCATAAATGAGACAAATAAAAAATCTCAAAAATAGTAGTCCTACCAAATTAAAAAATAAATTGTAACCTGCAGAATATTCAAGAAGTTGCATATTTTCATCTTCCCCATTAGTTGAATTACACCCACAGGACCGCACACTTCCAGATGTAAGACTCATATCAACATCATTTTCTTCAGTAAAAGCTTGAATTTTATCTAAAAAAATTTTTTTGAAAATTTTTCAAAAAATTTTTATTTTTTTTTTACTTTCAAGAATATTTGAAGCTTCCCCTGTCCATTTTATATTTTCATAGGGAGTATTTTGGTTAAGTGACATTTCAACTTCCATTAAACTTACTATTGGTTTAAAAAATTTATTTCCATCCAATAAAATTCCATAAGGACAACTTAACATTACAAAAACATCAATTTCTGCACCAAAATTTGTTAATTTAGCTTCGTTTAACTAAAAATTATTAAGATTAATTTTCAAACTATTTAAAGAAATATTTCTCAAAAAATTTTAGTTTTCGCTTGACTCGAAAATATAGTTTTGAACCAAGTAAGGGAATGTAAGTGAGAGATATTCTCCAAATGGTCTATCGGTACTTGTAGTCGTTTCTGGTTTTTATTTAAAAGGCAAAGAATTTCGATAATTTTTTCACAAAAATTAATTTAAAAAAATTTATTTAAAAAAAGAAAAACCTTTCCAATATAAAAAACATAAAGTTTTTTGCCTCTTTGTTTGCATAATTTTCTAACTCTACTAATCGCTTCTTTTCTACATTCCATTGATACATAACCAAGTACTAATCCAATTGTATTTGCATCTTTAACTTTTTCAGCCAAATACATTCTTTTCATTAATAATTTGTTTGTTTTTGAACTAGAAATTAATTTAAAAAATTTAAAAAAAAAATTCTTTACCTTTCCAAATAAAAACTTTTTTCTTTTGGTTCATAATGCAATATTTTATTTATTCCTTTTAATGTTAACACAAAAAGCGGTAAAAGTGGACTTTCTTTTTCTCCAAAAAATATTATTAAATTATTTTTATTTTCGTTAAAATTTGAAGGAATTTCACGTTTTAAAATAATTCTACAATTTTTTTCAAGTTTAGAAGAATCCTTTAAAAGTCTGCATAAATGAATGTTTTCTATTGAAAACACAGATTTTACATTTTGGTAGATTTCATCTGAAAATAAATTTTTAAAGGGTTTTTTAACATTCAATTTTATTTTTTTGGTTTTAAGAGGGTAATGAGAGAAAATTTTCGATTATATTCCCAGATTTCACTTCAAAACAAGGAAAATTCTAACTGGAAAGGAAAATTCTTCCCCTAAAATTATTAAAAATATCTCCCCCAATTTCTACATAAAAAATTCCAAAACTATCACCCCTTTCTTCCTACACAAACATTAAAAACATACTCTAAAACCATACTTTCCAAATCCGAATAGTCAGAATCACACAAAATAAGTATTTGATCAAATTCCTTTTCATCCTTTGTATTAATAAATTTTGAAATATTTTCTCGAAAGTTGACAAAATCGATGTTTGTATTTTCAAAAATATAAAGGGAAGGTATTTTGCCATTTAAATCCGTCATACATGCCCCTCCAAAGTGAACAATAGAATCACAATTTGCATGCTCAGCAGCAATCAAATCCAAACAACAACTGAAAAATGGAAAATAATTTAATTAAAAAGTATTTTAACAAGAGATTATTCCACATTTTTTTAGTTTTATAAAAGGCTCTATGTGGGTATTTAATTTTTGTCAAACTTCAGTCATACCGCAACAGAAGGCAGCATTGGAAATATTCCTTAAAAACCCTACCCTGGATGATTATTCTAAAAAATTTAAAACCTTCTGTAAGAAGTATCTGCCAAAATAAAAAATTGTTTGTCATTTGCACATTTCTCCAATTCCAAAAGAATTTCCGGTGCAATTGAAAGTAAATCTTGAGGAAATTGTAAGGCTATACGTTTATAATCATTTAGTTGCACCCATTCCAATATTTTTGTTAATTCAAATTTTGGTGATTCCATTGAGTATATAAAATTATAGAAAGATATTAGAATGCTGATAGTAGAAACAAAATTTTTACTACAAGAATTCAAGAAAATTCAACAATACAAGCCCGAAAACCCCTCCCTTCCCTTTTTTTCTGTAAAAAACAAAAATATAAAATCCAAAAGTTAAAACGGATCTAAAAATTCATCAACAGATTTTTTCCAGACTCATCCCTCTTAATAATTCAAATTTAGAAAGATTCCACTTATAGATAAAGAAAAAAGTCAAGAAATATTTAACATTGATTTACTTCAATTTAATCAAAAATAGGCAAGAACAAAAAAAAGAAATTTAACCAAATAAAAGCACAGGGAAAAATTAAACCTATATAAGCATTTATATATTAACTATTAAAAGTATAAGAAAATATGACACCTAATTTTTATTTATTTATTATCATTTTGAATAATTCAACTAGCTGCCTTTTCAAGCTCAATTAATTTCTTAACGCCATCATACATTTGCTTGACAGCTAAAAAATAAAAATTTTAAAAGAATTATTTTAAATAATTTTAACCTTCATATTCTGTAAGTCCAAGACGCGCCTTATTCGAAACATCATAGACACCACCTTCCGTTTCAGAATGCTCCCCATGAATTCCACGAATTTGCAGTTTCATATCTTCGCAAATTCTGAAAAATAAAACGTTAATTTTTTTACAATTTCTAAAATTAAACAAACTTCTTGAATTCAGGCTTTGAGCTTATCTTTGGCAATTTAATGTGTACAGATGCACGCACAGTTGTTCCCTGTAAAATTAATATTGAAACACACTTAAAAAAATACCAAATTGGAAGGGCAAAAAGTCAAATATCCCAGACGATCATCACGAGAAAAAGGCACTTTGTTCTCGATTGCCTTAACTCCTTTAATCAATCTCTCAAGCACCTGACCAACATTTCCACCATTTTGCATCGAAATTATGCGAAGATGGTCCTCTTCGTTAACCCAAACAAGGAAAGTCTAAAAAAATTTTTAAATGAAAAATAAGTATATAACGTTGCCTTTTTGGCGTTGTGGAAAATTCCTCTTCCTGCAGGCCAAAAGTGGTCTAGAAAATAAAATATGATATAAAATTAAATTAAACTTTTTCATACTTGCGTTAGCTTCTTTCAGGAAACGATCGCCTTCCTTAAACAAAAAGTGATCTGCAATTAATTGCTTTTGGGTATCCTTTGACATGCCTTAAAATAAATTTTATTTTCAAAAATAAAGGTCCAAAATTTATAAAAATTAACCATCAAGCGGATAGTAAGTTCCACCAAGTTCCGAATCACCCTTTAATCCATCAAAAACATTTTTGACTTTTGTCTCCATCATAATATAATCATCACGAGACAAAAGAGGATTGAATGGATATCTAAAAATTAATTTAATTAACAATTAGTATCTGGATAATAAATCAAACCCTTTGAAAGAGCGTCCACAACGAATTCTAAAATTAAAAAATAATCCTCAAAAATTGACAAAAATTACCTCGTAGAAAGAATATATTTTCCTTCTGGATCCAAATCTTTCAATTCCGAAATTTTGTCTTCGCCAAAATATGTCGCGGGATGCTTCGCATTTGGACCAAAACCACCATGATAGTCATCAATAATTGGGTCGAACAGAGCAGCAAATTTTGTATAGGATTCTGCATCTGGTGCATAAACACCGACACCAGAGTCAAGATTGGCAACACCTAAATTATCAAAATAGAATTTTCTGTATAGACTTTGCTCTCAATTATGAGAAAAATTATTTTCTAAAAAACTAACCAGAGCGGATGATATCATACAAAGTCCCTCCCAATTTGGTCTTCTTATATTTCAGCTTATCCTTCACACTTTCAGTGAAATGCTTCTTCAAAAGCGAATGGCATTCTTCACTTTCTTGAAGCTTACGATAGGCCTCTTCAATTCGCTTTACAGTGTAACCATCCGCCTCATTAACGCCAAAAGTTGAATACACACATTCACGCATCTAATTTAAAGATAAAATTAAAAATAAAAGAAAACTAACTGAGGGATATACAGTCTTCCACACCCACAAACCAATACCACCACCAACAATTCCACAGACTATAAGAGGGCCTTTATTCTTTTTGATAAACTGAGACATATTTATTTATCAACTAGAAAATAAAAAAAGTTTTTAAAAAGTGATAAAAGGAAATCAGGAAAAATGTGCGTTCTTACGCATCATAAAATCCAGGAATACTTTTCTGGGTGTCTCCCGCCAAATAGTTATTTTTGTTACTATGGGAACTTAAATACAAAAAAGTAAACAAGTTCAAAGAGGAACAACACCCGTTTAAAAAAGCTTTTATACAAACAGCTTGATACTGAAATACTCCTTTTTGTTGTAAACAAAAATAAAAAGTAAACAAGGTCACAGATACTACGGCGCAGACCACTATGGCTCAAGTAAAAATTAATGTCTTTACGCCGTGAGCGTCTAGTGGCCCGCGCCATGTTACCGATATGAAAAGGTGCATATCAGTCTGGGAGGTTTCATTCCTCACTGAAAAACGATCAAAGTATAATATTTATCAGCTGTGTTCTATTACATAATTCAATCACTTTGTAATAGAACACGAGTCTTTCTTTTATTTTTCAACGGGATTTTTAATGTTTTAATCAAATCTCCCAAAAATTTAACCTTCTAAATTTTCTTTTAAGCGTTATAATGGGATTATTCCCTCAAATCAACAACTATGTTCATTTGCGTCGTTGTTTGCACACAACATTGGGAAGATTGTCTTCAGTTCCTATGAGCCAGCATGAACCAAAGACCCGACTTCCTTATGAAAAACTTGCTACTAATTTGGAAATTGTGAAGAAAAGGTTTTAATTTAATTTGAAATTATTTTTCAATTTTCTCTTAAAGACTTAATCGACCTCTTACACTTGCTGAGAAGATTGTTTATTCCCATCTTGATGACCCTAAAGGACAGAAGATTGAACGTGGAGTGAGCTATCTAAACTTAAGACCCGACCGTGTTGCTATGCAGGATGCGACTGCCCAGATGGCTTTGCTTCAATTTATTTCTTCTGGGATCCCTACAGTGCAGGTTTATTATTTTTATATTTATGATGCCTTTTCAAAAAATCAATTTAGGTTCCGTCGACCGTACATTGTGACCACTTAATTCAAGCTCAAGTCGGAAGCGTAAAAGACCTTTATAGAGCAAAGGTATGGATTTAATCTTTAAAATTTTCATCCATATTTCTTATAGGAAATCAACAAAGAAGTCTTTGATTTCTTGGCCAGTGCTTCTAATAAATATGGTGTTGGATTTTGGCAACCTGGTGCTGGAATCATTCATCAAGTTGTGCTTGAACATTATGCTTTTCCTGGGTTATTGCTCATTGGAACAGATTCTCATACTCCGAATGGAGGTTTTATAGCTAATAATAAATAGAATATTCTCATAATTTCAGGTGGCCTTGGTGGTGTCTGTATTGGAGTTGGTGGTGCTGATGCTGTTGATGTAATGGCAGGTCTTCCATGGGAGTTGAAGTGTCCAAATGTAATTGGAGTGAAGCTAACTGGAAAGCTTTCGGGATGGACAGCGAGCAAAGATATTATTTTGAAAGTTTGTTTTTTAATTGATACTTTTAAATCTTATATTTATTCTTATATTATGTCTTTTAGGTAGCCGATATTCTCACTGTGAAGGGAGGAACTGGCGCTATTATTGAGTATTTCGGTCCTGGAACAGAATCTCTAGCATGTACTGGAATGGGCACCATAACGAACATGGGAGCAGAGATTGGCGCAACTACATCAATCTTTCCATTTACTCAATCTATGGTAGACTATCTTGTGGCTACTGGTCGTGGCAATATTGCCATTGAGGCAAAAAAGTACGCCAATTTGCTTAAACCCGATCCAGGTTGCGAGTATGACAAGGTAAGCTTTTAAAATTTATTTTATATAAATTATTTTCAGGTAATTGAAATAAATTTGGATGAATTGGTCCCTCATGTCAACGGGCCTTTTACACCTGATTTGGCCCATCCAATAGATAAACTTGGTCAACACGCAAAAGAAAATGAATGGCCTTTGGATATCAAAGTTGGACTGATTGGCTCTTGTACAAACAGTTCATATGAAGATATGGCTAGGTCTGCTAACATTGCAAGACAAGTAAGAGATGCTTATTTTTTGATTTTTATTAATTTTTTAAAATTCAGGCTTATAAGAAAGGCATGAAGCTAAAACCAATTTTTACTGTAACTCCTGGAAGTGAGCAAGTTCGCGCTACAATTGAGCGTGACGGTTTTATCAAAGATTTTGAAAACATTGGCGGTATTGTTCTCGCAAATGCTTGTGGACCTTGTATTGGACAGTGGGATAGAAAGGATGTTAAGATGGGAGAGAAGAACACAATTGTTAGTTCTTATAACCGAAACTTCACTGGACGCAACGATGCGAATCCTGCCACTCATGCTTTTGTAACCTCGCCAGAAATGACGCTTGCTTTGACTTTGGCTGGAACTTTAGACTTTGACCCGCGTCGTGACTATTTGACAGCGCCAGATGGTTTTTATTTAATTTTTAAATCTTAATGCATTTAATATTCTAGGAACCAAATTCAAGCTTGAAGAACCCAAAGGAGAATGTCTTCCAGAGAAAGGGTTTGATCCTGGCACTGACTTGTATCAACAACCAAAATTTTCTGGCGATGTAGTGGTTGATCCGAAAAGCAATCGACTTCAGTTATTGAGTCCATTTGACCCTTGGGATGGAAAAGATTTGACTGATATGGTTATCTTGATTAAGGTTGATTTTATTGAAAATTTTTTGTGTATATTTAATTTCTTTAAAGGTCAAAGGAAAGTGTACAACCGATCATATAAGCGCTGCTGGACCATGGCTAAAATATCGTGGACATTTAGATAATATTTCGAATAACTTGTTCCTCACGGCAAAGAATGCGGAGAATGATGAATTGAACAAGGTATTTTAGAAATAATGGGAAATTATATTCATGAAATATTTCGAAAAATTTAAGGTTCGCAATCAGTTAACTGGCGAATGGGGACCAGTTTGTCAAACTGCAAGAGACTACAAAGCAAAAGGCCAGGCATGGGTTGCTTTCGGTGATGACAACTACGGAGAGGGCTCTTCTCGTGAACATGCCGCACTCGAACCTCGTCATCTCGGTGGAAGGGCAATTATTGTAAAAAGCTTTGCTCGAATTCATGGTAAGAATTTAGGAGTGAATATTTAAAAATCTTGATTTTTCAGAAACGAATTTAAAGAAGCAAGGGCTTTTGCCACTAACTTTTGTAAATCCTGCCGATTATGACAAAGTTCGTCCGGACGACCGAGTTTCCCTTGTCGAGCTCAACACTCTTGCTCCAGGCAAAAAAGTCAAGTGTGTGCTTAAACATAAAGATGGAAGCAAAGATGTTATTGAACTCCAACATACTCTTAATGAGGGTCAGATAGAGTGGTTTAAGGCAGGTTCTGCGCTCAATCGGATGAAGCAATTGAAAGCGAATAAATAAGAAATTAGAGAGGTTTCTATTGATCAGTTTATGGGTATGAACTAATGAAAAAAATGTTAGGGAATATATAATTCTATAATATTAATTTTATAATAAAAAAATATTTTAATCCCCCTATAATAAATTGTATCCTCTGTGACGAAAAAATTTATATGTTAACAAATAAGCATTGTAAGACATTGAATATTTAGAATAAAAATTCGTAAATTTTTTGTATTAATTTTTCTACATTACTTTTGGAAGTTCAGTTTAAAGTTCTGTCTTTTATTTTTATATGGAATGTCCTAGCTTCTGCTTTTAGTTACTTAACAAAGTTATTTTTAAGCTTGAGCGCAGTTTTAATTTTCTGGCTGTAGCGTAATAAATATTCACACGTAAATAATTTAAGATAACAAACAGTTTCTGGGTCTTGAGGTGAAATAATTGTAAAAAATAAACTGATTTGAATTAATTGGCTAATACTCAACTTGCGGGAGTTACCGGCGGTACTCAACCGACCCCAACTGCTGATTTACATTCCAAATAATTTGACCAAATCTTTGTTTTTTTTGTCATCGTGAACAGGATAAAATAATATGGTTTGTTTGGTTTTGAATGATTAGGTACTTATTTTTAATAAATAAAGGCTCGTAATGCGGAAAAAGCAATGACAGCTTTGGCCAGATGGCGGCGTATGAAAGAACAAGAAGAAAAGGGACCTGTCGCTAAAAGACCAAATGATGTGCGTGAATGTAAGAAATTGCCCGATGCAGAACGTTTTAGACGAGAGATTATTAATGATATTTCAAAGAAAATCACTCAAATACAGGTTTTTGTTTAATTTTAATGATCTATCATAATTAATTTTTTTAGAATCCTGGTCTCGGTGAATTTAAGATACGTGATCTAAACGATGAGATTAATAAATTGCTCAGGCTAAAAGGTCTTTGGGAGGCTCGAATAAAAGAATTGGGTGGCGTTGATCACAGGTTTGCAGATTTTATTCAAATCAACTCGGGAGATCCTCCACTTGTTTTTTTCTAATAAGGCAAATAAATGAACATAAGAATAAATTCAGTTAAGAAAGGCAAAAGTATTTGGGGAATGGAGGGAAACTTATAAAATGACAAAATCTAAAAGAAGTCCCAAAAACTATTTTATAGGAGAATAGCACCAAGAGAGGTTGATCGTGATGGAAGGGAAGTCGCCAGCAACAAGGGATATAAATATTTTGGAGCTGCAAAGGATCTCCCCGGCGTCCGTGAACTTTTTCAGAAAGCTACAGAAACTACTTCGAAGAAAACTAGAACAGAACTTATGCGAAATGTTGATGCAGATTATTATGGATATATGGATGACGATGATGGATTGTTAATTCCATTGGAAAAAGCCGAAGAAAAATTGTCGATTGCGAGGATAAATGCGGTAATTTTATTTAAATTTTTTAATTTAAAAAAAAATAAAAAGAATTTAACAAAAAAATCCATAAATGTCAGTATTTTCGCTTGAGCGTCTTCTTCTCTTTCACCTTCAAAAAATTTATTCTTTTCGTTCACAAGGATAAAATATTGAAATTTGCTTCCACAAATAATAGAAAACATTACGAATATCGCCAAATTGAGTCCGCCAAATAAGTTCTTGTTGATATTTGTAATTATCCCTTCGTCTGTTGTCTGGTTTTTTGTCAATAATACCTAAAAATTTTGATCAGTTTTTATTTTTTTCTTTTTAAATTATTCAACCTTCTTCAATTTTAATTGGATTTTCATCTAAATATTTTACACAAACATCTCGAAATTTGTCAAACAATCCAATTATTGAAGCCTGGCTAATTTTAGTTTGAAATCCAATCTCTTTAATAGTCCCAAACTGTTGAGCCCAATAATAAGCTAGTTCAAATACTTGTTTTGTTGTTAAATGTCTCCGCTCGAAGAATGTCCCACACAAATAACCCGAAGATACTCGACAATTTTTAGTTGTGCAGCGCCAGGCTGTATATCTACTATGACCATTTTCGACTTTAAGTGTTGTTCTACCTCCGCATTGTTTACATGTTTTCTTTGCGTGAAGAAGTCCAAGTTCTTCGAGCCATGCATCGAAATCGTTGTCACTCATTTTTAGTTTTTCATATAAGTCAGTAAAATTAAAATTTTGCAGTTCTTCCATTTATTGAGAGAATTTTTTTCAAATAAATAATATAAGGAAATGAGAAGTATTCCTACATTTACGTTATTTTATATTTGATTTTGGTGTAGAGGAAGACGCTCAAGGCAAAAGAATTAGGTAGTTGGGAAAGGGAAACTGAAAGGTCAGGAGATTAAAAATGATTACCGATGTATAAGGGAAACTGAATAAAAATTAAGTGATTATTGGCAGAAAATTAAATGGCAATTTTTTTAAAATTATTTAATAATTATTTTAAAATTTACTTAGGAATGGGCAAAAAGAGGACCCGAAATGAACAGAGAAAAAGATTTTGATGAAGACATTTACAAAGTTCAAGCGGTTGGAAATTTTAAAATTTAAATATTTCAAAGGATTATTTTTAAGGATTCGGATGATGAAGAACCTGTACCAATAAAAGAATCTGTCGTTATGGGAGAAGATGGACGTGAAATGGTTATTAAACATGTTATGGTTCCTTCACAAGCTGAAATTGAGGAAATGATTGTTGAAAGGAAGAAGCAATATTTGCTTGAGAAATTTGCTGGATAATTAAATTTTTAAATTTTTGTTTTATTTTTATTTATAAATCAACAAATTTATTTTTAAAATTTTATTCCTGTTTATTCAGAAAGGAAAATATTTTTCATTTTTATACGATTTTACTATTTTGTTTTATGTTAGAATAATTCAATAGTTGATTGCTCATAATGCCGGCAGTGAAAGGTATTTTTGTTATTATAATTTTGAACTTGGGACAAAGGGAATGATTTATTGTCGGAGGTTTTTCAAACCTAAATCAAACCTCTAATGTTTTATCTAATGTAAGCTTCAGTCGATCCTACAAAATTTTTTAAATTTCCTATTTACCGTTTTTTAAAATTTATAGGTGATGGAATGCGTGGTCTGGCCGTATTTATAAGTGATATAAGAAATTGTAAAAGTAAGGAGGCTGAATTGAGACGGATAAATAAAGAATTGGCAAATATACGTTCTAAATTTAAAGGTTTTATTTTAAATCTAAAGAAGGAAAAATTTTATTTTTTTTTAAAAAGGTGACAAAACACTTGATGGTTATCAAAAAAAGAAATATGTTTGCAAATTACTTTTTATTTTTCTGCTTGGTCATGACATTGATTTTGGGCATATGGAGGCTGTTAATTTACTTTCTTCTAATAAATATACGGAGAAACAGATTGTAAATATTTTTGTATTTTTTTTTTAATTTTTAAAAATTAAGGGATATTTGTTCATTTCTGTTCTAATCAACTTAAATTCGGATTTAATGAAGTTAATAATCCAATCAATTAAAAATGATCTCCAATCGCGAAATCCAGTACATGTTAATCTTGCCCTTCAATGTATTGCCAATATTGGTTCCAAAGATATGTGTGAAGCTTTTGCTCATGATTTGCCAAAACTTTTAACTTCTGGGTACTTTTAAAATTAAAATTTTTTTATTTTTCTTTATTTTTTAGTGATACTGTTGATTTTGTTAAGCAAAGCGCTGCACTTTGTCTTTTAAAATTATTGAGAATTCCAATTGATATTATTCCACATAGTGAATATTCTGTTCGAATTGTGCAACTACTTAATGATTCACATTTGGTTATTTTTGTTTTAAATATTTTTTAACTTTAATTTTTATGTAAAGGGTGTGGTAACTTCAGCGGCTTCTTTAATTGAAGTTCTATCAAAGAAAAGTCCTGATGAATATAAAGGCTGTGTTTCCTTGGCAATTTCGAGACTTAGCCGGGTTTTAAATGTATATAGTAATTTACTAATTCTGAGTGATTTTTAGATTGTTACTTCTACTTATACCGATCTACAAGGTTTGGACTTTAAAATAATTTTACTAACATAAATATTACCAATTTAAGACTATACTTACTATTTTGTTCCTGCTCCTTGGCTTTGTGTTAAATTACTCAGATTACTTCAAAATTATCCTCCACCAGGTTTTTAAATTAGATTTCCCATTGAAAAATTTCTTTAATTTTTAGAAGATCCAGGCAATCGTGCTCGTCTTCTTGAATGTCTCGAAGGCATCCTTAACAGAGCACAGGATGCCCCAAAGTCCAAGAAAGTTCAACACGCGAATGCTAAAAATGCTGTTTTGTTTGAAGCGATAGCATTAATTATTCATCACGACAGCGAACCAAACCTTTTAGTTAGAGCTTGTAATCAATTGGGAACTTTTCTTTCTCATCGCGAAACTAATTTGAGGTTTGAAAAATTTTAAAAAATGTTTAAATTTTTATATTTAAGATATTTGGCACTTGAGTCTATGTGTCTTTTGGCTACCTCTGAATTTTCACACGATGCCGTCAAAAAACATCAAGAAACAATTATAAATTCTTTAAAAAGTGAAAGGGATGTTAGTGTTCGACAACGGGCTGTGGTGAGTATTTTTCGGTTTTTTGTTTAATTTTTGTGTAAAATTTAGGATTTACTTTACGCAATGTGTGATCGGTCTAATGCTGAAAATATTGTTGCTGAAATGCTTACTTATTTGGAAATGGCTGATTACTCTATTAGAGAAGAAATGGTACTTAAAGTGGCTATTCTTGCAGAAAAATATGCAACAGATTATACTTGGTATGTTGACGTTATTTTGAAATTGATTCGAATTGCTGGGGATTATGTTTCTGAAGAAGTTTGGTGTAGAGTTATTCAGGTTATTTTGTAAATAGTTTTTTCTTAAATTAATTTATTGTTAGATTGTTGTTAATCGAGAGGATGTTCAAGGATATGCTGCTAAAACAGTTTTTGAGGTAATATAATAATATTTTTGAGGGGGCATTTTCTAATTATTTTTAGTCTACTTTAAATCTTATTTTAAATGATCCTTCATTTTTTAGTTTTAAAATTCAAAAAAATTTATGATTTCATTTACTGTGTACTTTTAGGCTTTGCAACAGGCTACTTGTCATGAAAATATGGTTAAAGTAGGCGGTTATATTCTTGGGGAATTTGGCAATTTAATTGCTGGAGATCCTCGTTCAAGGTTTTTTTTTACCTATTTTAAAAATAATTTTGTTTATTTTATAGTCCAATGATTCAATTCGAAACTTTACATAGCCGTTTTCATTTGTGCAGTATTGCTACAAGATGTTTATTAATGACTACTTATATTAAATTTTGTAATTTGTTTCCTGAAATAAAAACTCATATACAAGAGATTCTACGTTCTGATACTAATTTGAGAAATCCTGATGCTGAATTGCAACAAAGAGCTGTCGAATATTTGCAGTTGAGTAAAGTGGCATCGCCTGATGTTCTTGCTACGGTTTTTTCATTTCATTATCCTAATTAAGTTCTGTTTAGATTCTCGAGGAGATGCCATTATTCCCCGAAAAGGAAAGCAGTTTGCTTGCAAAATTGAAGAAGTCGCAACCACAAGCAGAGGATTTGGACAGTTCCCAGACAGAACCAAAACACCGCCCTTCCGCAATAATGTCTTCAACCACAAATGCACCTAAACCTGTACTAATTATTTGTAAATATTTTTATATAAAATTTTGTTTTCTAGGGAACGTCCCCTTCTGCATCTGATTCAAGCAAACTTCTTGATCTTAGTGGTGATGTTCAGCAATTAACTAATGGATCTTCTGCAATCAATCAATTGTCAGATATTTTTGGGAATCTGAATACATCAAATGGATTTACATGCGATGAACCGATTTTTAACAAAAGCGATTATTTAAAGTATAGATTTTATTTTGGGGAAATTTAACGGAATTGATGTTTTTGGGAAATCTCTTGACTCGTGAGAAATTTATAGAGGGAGCGGGGACAATCATTTTCGTCTAAGCGTATATGTAGCTATTTGCGATGCCTTAAAACTTTGTATTTTCCAACAGCACTTAATTCTATTTTTTCAGATTTATAGTGAGACAAACTGGAATACTTTATGAAGATGAAATAGTCCAAATTGGTTGTAAATTAGAAGCTCGTTCAAATTTGGCTAGATTGGGAATGTTTTATGGAAATAAAACTAGTGCAAAATTTACACAATTTATTACAGCAATTACTTGTCCTGGTCAATTAGCTGGACAATTAGTTTGTCAGGTTTTTTTTCAATTTTTTACAAAATATTTTTAATAATATTTTTTCAATAGGCAAAGCAAATCGACTCAGAAATTGATGCTGGCACTCAAATCCAACAATTAGTCAATGTTGTTTGTTTAAATTTCTTTTCGCAATCGCCAGTAATTAAAATCTCGTTTACTTACACGTTTGTCTTTTTTTGATACTTTTTTTATCAAAAAATATTTTTTTAGGACAAAAGACAATCTTCAACAACAATTTTCTCAAAATCTCTACATCCCAATTTTTATCAATAAATTTTTCGAACCAACGGATATGAATTCAGAACAATTCTTTAATCGTTGGAAACAACTAAATTTGTAAAAATTAAAATTAAAAATTAATTTTAAACGTCTTTTTAGGCCAATTCAAGAATGTCAAAAAATTTTTGCTGCAAAATCTTCAATGGAATCAGAGGATGTTTCACAACAAGTGGGTTTTATAAAAGTGTTTTTGATAAGAAATCATTTTTAGCTTTCAAATTTGGGAGCTCGTGTTCTTCCAGGAATTGACCCAAATCCTGATAATTTTGTTTGTGCTGGCATAATTCACACACAAGCTGCTCAGATTGGGACTTTGATTAGATTGGAGCCTAATAAACAAACAAGGGTGAGGCAGATTTAAAATTAAAATTAGATTGAATTTGGTGGATCAGGATGGTTGATTTTTTAATCAATTTTTCGGAACATTTGGGACCTATTCGAAGTCCACCCCTGACGATCTACACCTTCTAGACTTACACCCTTAAGACCTATTTACCCTGAAGACCTACAACTTTTTGATCGACACAATTTTTACTTTTTATTTCTTTACAAGTCTAATCGGTGGATTTAAAGGAGGAAAAGAGGAAATAGGAGGAATTAAAGGGGATATCGATGGATTTGAAAGTTTTAAAGAGGATATCAAGGATTTTGAGTTTTAATCCACGGACAATCTTTAATATCTTCGATCTCCGGGCACATTTCAAAATTCTTTTTGCCTTAGATACCTCTAAAAACCCCTAGAATTTAAATTTAAAAAAATTTACAAAAAACTAGATGTATCGACTTACAATACGAAGTAGCAGAGAAGGTGTTGCTTCTACATTGTGTGACCTTCTTACAGAAGTTATTTAAAAATATAATATTGTTTTTAATTTGCAAAATATCTTTTCCTCCTCAAATTATCGATGTAATAGACAAAAATATATATTAATTAAATTTACATTCCTATAAGTGATTGCGATAATGATTTTAATAATATTATAATTATATTTTATTATTTTCCCAAATGACAAAATAATGATAACACAAAATAATTTTTAAAATGATTTTCAAGCAAATAAAAATCTCTCGCTTTTTAAGTATTTTTAATGAAAAGGGGAATTACAATTATTTACCCGAACCTGTTTAAAACCTAAAATATTTAGGGAGAGCACCAATTCAAATTGGAGCTCTTTATTTTTAAAAATTACAGTCAAACCTCTCTCATATGGAATCCCCTCGTCACCAGAGGTGGGTCGGAACAGTCCGAGGTGTCGGAAATCGGAACTGGCTCAAAAGTCGGAAATCGGAAATTAAAATTTTTTCGGAAATTGGAACGAAAAAACGTCGGAATTCTGATCCACCTCTGCTCGTCACTTTCATACGTCGGCTAAATTCATCCCCAAAAAGTGGTATTTATGAGAGAGGTTTGATTGTATAATTTATAAAACTTGAAAGAATTTTTTTTATCTTAAAGTTCTTCCTTTTCTTTCTTCTTTTTCTCAGTCTTTTTAGGCTTTTCTTTGTCCTCCTTACTTTTCTTTGTTTTTTCGGCAGTCTTTTGTTTTTCTTTTTTGGCCCCTTCTTTTTCTTTAGTAGCTCCATCCTTCACTTTTTCCTTTACTTTTTTATCAGCTTCTTTTTTTGTTTCAACGTTTTTATCCTTGACCACTTTATTCTTTTTTGCTTCTTCCTCCGCTTTTTTGGCAGCTTTGCCAGCTGCGTGTGGACAGCCGCCGCTTGCTGGTTTTTTGTTTTCTTTTTTAGCTTTTTCCTTAATTTTTTAAATTTAATAATTCCTCTATGTATTTCCCCTATGCTATTTTATTTTTTAGTTTATTTTTTTTCCAACCCCTATTGAAAAATTTTCTGAAAACGTGTGGAATAGTTAATTCAGGTCTTTAACTCTCAAATACCTTTACTTCCTTTTCCTTCACTTTCTCATCTTTCTTCACTTCCTTTTCTTCATCAACAACTTCTTCCCCTTCTTCTGGCCCTTCAAACTTTTTAAGTCCAAGTTTCATTGCAATTATAACATCAGGCACTTGTGGGAAATATTGTTTGTTGTTTGGATAATTTTTAGCATTATCCACAGTTAATGGATGTCCTTCTTTATCTGTAAAAAGTTTTTAAATTAAATTTTAATTTCCTTCCTTCCCCTTCCCTCACCTACTCAAAATAAATAATCGAGGAATATAGCGGCCATCCGGGGCATATTCTTCCTCTTCTGGTTCATCGTCATCTTCTACATTAACCATTACAAATTGTTTGCTTAATTCTACTAATTCTTCTCGTTTATTTGAACTGGCAAAACTTTTTTTCAATGCTGAATTAAAAAAAATATTTTAAATAAAGAACATGTTTGGAAGGAAATAGAAGGTTATGTCCTCCTTCCTGCATGAGGATAATAAAATAAATAATATGGGGAAAATGAAACTGGCATTATTAGTGATCGAAAGAGTCTTCAAGTCTAACTGTGTGTCTTCTAGAGATGTTGATCGTCCTCTATCCCTGAAGGGATTTGAGGTTCAATAGAGGGATGGGGAAATTAAATGATGCTTTTCCCAGTTGGGATCCACTAAATTCTCTTATTCTTTTATATTTTTCCTTTCGGAGTTCACTTTAAACTTTATTTAATTTGTCTCCATCATACCTTGGCAAGCGCCACACCAAGTTTTGTGTATAAGCAAAAATATAGGTTTATTCAAATCCAAAGCTATAGAAACAGCATCATTCCATTGCACCCAGTCAATGTCTGTTCCGAATCCTTTAAAAGATTTTCTTGATTTTTTAAAGAATATTTAAATAACCATTAGATAAATCAACTTCTTTTTCTTCAATTTTTTGATTTTCATCTTCATTAACTGAATTACTTTGTTTTTCTTTTATGGGCCTTTTTTCTTCTACTTTGGCAATTACAAAATAAAGAAAATAAAGGAGAATAAATGAAGAGAAAAAGAAGCGCATTCTCTTACTTTAATCTTTTACTGATTTTATCAAAAAACTATTAATAAAGTTTTTTGATAAAATTGCAAAAAACCTTGTAAACCAGAAAAATTCACTGAAAAAGTTGGGAGCATGGGGTCATTAAGTCAGAAAATGTAATAAATAAACCCTTTCTGCTTAATTGAAATTCAATAAACTAAAACAGGATATTCCGAATGAGTAATCCTTTAAGGTTAATTATGTGAGGATTTGACTTGACTTCCACTTACAAAAAAAAAAATAAAAAATTAATTTCTACTAGGAAACAGGAGTGGGTCGGAATTCCGAGTTCCAAAAAAATTTAGACTTCCGAGTTCCGACTTTTGAGCCAGTTCCGATTTCCGGCTCTTCCGATTTCTGACACCTCTGACTGTTTCGATCCACCTCTGCTCAAAAAATCCTTTTCCTTTATAAAAATTTTATTTTTATGAATTGTTCTTTTCGGTGAATTGCTTTGAGATTGAAAAATAAAATAAAGGAGAAAATTTTGAATATATGTATTTTATTTATTTACAAATATTTATTGTTTATTGTTGTAAATTTACGTGGCGTGGGCAATTATTTAATCGACATAAAGCAAAATATTTGAATTGAGAATTGGGGGAAAATAGCTTTCAATGTGCATTTTGTGTGTTATAAAAATGCGCAGAGGGAATAATTTTTCTCTTCTTTAACCAAAAATTCTTCCATCCATCAAAACATTATTTCGTCCTTCATGCAAAAGACGATCGAAAATTGTTTGAGTGGCTTTGGATTGAAAAATTGGTGGAAAGAAAAATAAATATTCTCTCTAAAATATACTGATAGTTTGCGTGGCTGTCAGTTAATGCATTAAAAGGAGTGACCCGAATGAAACAATTTATTTAACGAGAATTTTTTTTCAAAAATAAAAACATGCTGTAAATCAAATAAATACACACACTTTATTTTTTATTATTAAATAACGCGCATTTGAATAAATTATTTTTTTTATTTAAAATATTCAAAATATCTGAACACTCACTCAATTAAATACCTTAAAACCTGCAAAATAAAGGGGACATTGAACTTATTTTATTAAATCAAAAGGGGTAGACCCCGATGTACCGCGAGCCCAATGTACCGCCGAGCTACAACTTTGTTCAAAATTTTTGAATCCGTGGGGCCCTGATATGGTTCGATGCGTCTCGCCCAGCTGAATCGAACCATACCAGGCTTCGACAATTTTGGACAACGTTATAGTTCGGCGGTACATTGGGCTAGCGGTACAATGGCCTGCTCCCATGAAAAGCCTATTTACATTTTAAAAATTAGGGATACATCAGAGGGAGGGGGAATTTTTAATTTTTATTAAACCAAAAAAGAATTTATTAAAATTATAAAATTAAGAAAATAATTTTTTATAAAATCTAAAAGACTTATTTATAAATTTTTTTATCAATTTTAGTTAAAATTTTATCTTTTTTCCCTATCAATAACGTCATCAATTTTCCATTTTATTATTTTTAACTGTTTATATCACGTTTATATATGCTTTTATGACGCAAAACTGTTCAATTTCTAAATGTTAACCCTAAACAGAAAATTAAAAAAGATAAAATATTATTAAAATAAGGATTAATTTTATAACTAGATTAATGAAAAATCAAGTTTTAAAAATAAATTGAGCATTTCTAAATATTTTATTTTCTCCCTTCAAAAATATGCAATTTACCAACTTAACTACCGGTAACTAAGGTTGTTGGATCCGGATATCCGGAGCCGAAAAAAGCCGGATATCCGGAAATTTTCGGTTCGGATATCGGATCCGTATATGGATATCCAAGAATTCCCAACTATCCAACAACCTTACTGGTAACGTTATCGCGTAATTTAATTTTTTAAAATTCGAACTTTTATTTTTAACTTAATTTGTTAAAGCTTGGTGTCCCCCACACATCACTTTTCATATGTCAACTAAATCCGATTTCGAAGGTGATGTATTTTAGAGAGATTTTTAACTTCATTTATTATTACTTTTTTAAAATTTCTTCTCAGACATTTATTTTTTTCCTGTCCAGTTTCCGGTCCTTCCTTTCCTCATTTTTAAGTGCCGCTCCTTCCCCACTCTCTTATTTTTACCTTCCCAACAGTCCAATCAATTCAAAGTAATATGCTTAACCGCTATTTTTCTGAGAAATCCTCTCAACTTTTTTATTAAAAATATATTTTTAATTGGATTTTCATTTTATTTTTAATTTGTACTTTTTAGTCTTGTTTTTTAATTTTAACAAATACCCTCTATAAAGTAAAAATATATTGAAGTTTAGCCCATAATATTTGAAAATGTCTGATTTTTTATCTTTTTTATTTTCACATTTTCTTTTTTTTTAAATAAATTTAGTGTTAAAATACTGCTTTTTAGAAATCGGAACGAGACGAGATCTCAAATAAAAATCTCGGCTGTCGAGATCTATAGGACTTATTGTGAGTCTCGTATGCCCTTTTCAATCCCGTCTATACTCTTTCCAATTAATTTAATATTTAAATTAAACAATAATGTATACACATTTACATATAAAATAAACCAGCTGTTGTTATTATTTCCCTCACAATATTAGCCTTTCACCGCAAAGAATTGATTCCCATAGGGAGTATATTTATTTATTTGTTTATTTTTAGCTTATTTCCCTTAGCTTTTCCCTCACAATTTCTTTTCTGTCCATTTTGTTAGGGTCATTCATTTCCTCTCCTTCAATAGGAGAGGAAAAAAAAAAAAAAAAAAAAAAAACTTTTCAGCTGTTCTATACAAATATATTACTAAAAATATTTTTTCTTTCATTTCAAACTTTTTTGAATTATTTTTTGTCCAAAAACCCCCAAATTTCTTTTTTATTTAAATTTTTATTTTTCCTATTTAATTCAATTTCCGTTTCATTTCCTCTTTATTATTTAAATGAGGCTTATAAAAAATTAAGTAAAAAAGGATTATTTTGTGACGGGATATCCACAATAATAATGAAATATTGTGGACATACAATAATTCTAAATTTTCTTCTAATTCACCTAGTATTCTTGCCATAATTTTTATAAAATTGTTTATCGCCCTTACTATTTTAAGAATTTATTTTTTTATTTTATTTTTGAAAAACATTTAAAAAATAATTTTATTCAGAAATTGTAAATTCAAAAACATAAATTTTTTTAACTGATAAAAGATAAATAAAAAATTAAATCGAATAAAATCATTTAATATTTGTTAAATAAATGTTTTGAAAAATCATAAATAAATGGGTTCTCCTCCAAATTATTTCCAAAATTCGTTTCGACAGAACAACAATTTAATAAAATATATGGCTTAAATGATTCATTACTGACTTTTATTAAGACTGCTTTGCCTTAAAAAAAGAAAATATTTTTTTTCTAAATTTAATTTCAATCTCTACCAATTTGTTTTCCATTTTGAGTAAAGAAAATGTAGGGAAAATCTTCTAGCGGATAAACTAATCCGCAACCAAAAACATCGTTATTTTTCCAAGAAAATAGTGGAACTTTAAACCATTTATTTTCCTCATTCAAAATTGAAGCCTTAGCTGCGTCAAATCTGGTATATTTATTACAATCACACTTTTTAAGGCCAATAATCACATTATGCTTATTTATTCCTTCCATCTTCATGCATTTAATTTCAAAATAATATAAAGAATTATTGATACAATTTTGAGGTTTTTTGAAAGAATTTTCAGCAACAATTTTGGATTCGTTATTTACACCTAAAATATTTAATTATTTTATTTATTAATGCCCCTGTTGTGTCCGCACTTGCAAAAAGAACATAAATGAAAATAAATAACCCTTCATCGGGTTGGATGGTGGCACAGTCGATTGTGCTTCGGTCTGGGCTCATTCCGTGATGATTCTATTCCATCTCCCATCCAATGAATTTTTCCACAGCATGAAACTCGTATACAATAGCCCCTAAATAATTTACCTTTCCCTTCTACACACTTAATATATTTAACATTTCCATCACTAATTAAATTAACATATCCATTCCCTTCAATACAATTCCCAATTGGATAGTTTGTATCTATACATTCATTTTCACAACATTTAAAATAAACAAATTCTTTCCATTTATTTTCAATTTTAATAAATTTCTTAAAAATAAATTATTTAAATTAATCAAAAATAATTAAACCAACCAAATCTATATAAATTATATTCTTTAATTTTTCCAATTCATTTGTTAAATCAGCAAACTTTTTGTTTAAAAAATCATTTGCCTTAAAATTATATAAATTTTTAAATATTTTTATTTGGAAATTTTGTAAAAAAATTATTGAAGGGGGGAGGGGGGGGCATCAAGCGATTGAAGGGGTGTCTTGAAGGACCCCCTCCAAGACCAAGAGTCTCGGACAGCTCTAGGGGGTGTCTCTGGTTCGAAACCGTTAGTCGATAACTGACTTTTTTTAATTTTTCCTTTACCTTCTTAATTTCTTCTTCCAACGAATTTATTTTCTCATCTTTTTGCTTGTTATCAGATTTTATTTTTTGAATTTTCTAAAATTTAATTTATATTTAAATAATTAATTTATCCAAAGTAACCTCCTTCTTTTCCTTTAATTTATTTTCAAGAAAAATATTTTTATTTTCAATTTCTTTTATTTTTTCATTAAATTCCTTCTAAAATTATTTAAAAATAATTTAATTAAAATATTAATAACCTCTTTATTTTCTAAATAAAAAATTTTCTTTTCCAAATTAAAACTATTTTCTTTTTCTTCAATATATTTTACTTGAAGAACGTTAAAATTATTTTGAAGTTTTAAATAATTGATTTGGCTTAACTTAAACAGAATTTTTATTTTTTTTAAATAATTTTTTAATTACTTTTAATTCCGCCTCACAATTTGATAATCCTTCCCCAGCCATTTTGTAAAATTTCTGAAATAAACAAAGTCTTATTTTAAAAATTCAGATAAATGAACAATCAAAATAATAATTATTTTCGAAAAATCTTT